AGGACACGCACCTGCAGCAGAACTCGGATCTAGGACTAGGAGCCCAGGAGCTTTGCTTTGCAACCCGAAGAACCAAAGGCTTAAACCCCAAGGCCCCGAGATCGAATCCTTCAATACCCTCAAATCCAAACCTGCGAAGCCAAGCCCTAAACCCAAATCCCACAGAATGCCTGAACCTAATATAGGGGGCTCAATAATTATAATTGTGGTGTAGTATACCCCAAAACCCTATTCTAACCCTAAATCCTAAACCCTAAACCCCAAAACCCTATTCTAATTCTTAAGGCCCTTACATCACAGCTCCGCAGGCGCTCGCGGCTGTGGAGGCATCCTGTTCCTTCAGGGCCCGATGGGGCTTCAAAGAGGGCTTCAGAGGTTTAGGGTTTAAGGGTTTAGGGTTTTAGGGTTTAGGGTTTAGGGCTTAGTGCATTGCAGTCTCTGCTCAAAAATAGAGGGAGTTTAGGGCTCTGGGGTTCGTTCTCGGGCTTGGGCGTGGGCTCTTGGGTGTAGGGATTCAGGGATTTGGTTTGAGGTTTGGGGTAATTAATTTTGATACGATAGGACTGCTGTCGAACTCTGATCTTGTGGCCAAAGCATACCAAACTGGTGCATTTTGGTGCCCCAACTTCGGAAACCCTTAAATTTCTAGGTGAAGGCAGGACGTCGGATTTCTGGTCGGGTTTGAGTTCGGGGTTTAGCTTAGCCTCTGGTTTAGCCTGTAGACATTGGGCCTTAGGCACATGTACATGTTGGGTTTTTGGCAAAGGCTGCAGAGATTTCGAGTTTCCTGTTTGCAAACACTGCGATTTGCTTCATGTTTGCGAGGCACACCGTGCTGCCAGAGGCAGCGTCCTAGATGTCCTGGAAACAGGAGTGGAGACACATAATGCCCGGAACGCAGCCGGAATTCCGAAGGCTCAAGCGGCAGAAGCTCAAAATCGTAAACCGCCTGGCCCATAGACACCCCGAATGCTGCGGACACCCTCAACCGAGACCGTCGACACTTCTTGACAGCTTTTTTACACAAACCTACTTAAAAGCTTTTAAGTTCGGCAGGCACTATATGCTTACAGAAGCGCAATACGCTGCGCTCCCATGCCCGGTTTTTTCAGCCCCCGTGCTCACTGAGTAAGTTCCTTCACCACGATCCGATTGAGACCTGTCGAGCCTTTAGCCAGCCATGAGGGAGCCAAAAGCTCGTAACATTTCATTTCAACCCTCGAGACCTCTTGCGAAGTTTCAGTAGCCCTAAACCCTAAACCCTAAACCCTAAACCCTATCCGAAAAATGGCTCAAGCCACTGACTGCTCGAGC